CCCCCCTCCTCTATGGTGCTCTGTATTTGCATTACTTTGTGGGGCACCCACCCCTCGCCTGCATATCTGAATCTAACTCACATTTGCCCCTCTGGGTTTTTTAGGAGATTTCTCCCCGGTCATGCCTCAGACATTTACACACACAATAAGTCATTTTCAGACAAACATAGGGCAGTAATGGAGAGGAGATATTCTCCCGTCTTTTTTTGCTGTGGCCCTTCATCAGGGTGTCCAAGGATGAGCATTTTGGATTTCTGGAATTTTCATATTTAAGGGAAAAAAAAACGAACCATTTGTATTTTCAAAATTTCTCAGAAGTTGATGCTCAACTTATCTCGTACCTGAAAATTCTTGTTTGTTTGAATTTGAATTAATTAGAAAAGTAAGATTCACACTTTAAAAAAAACTTAAATTTGTTTTTCTTTTCTTAAAGAAAGAAATGATTGTGCTCATCTCTTGTAAACCCTATGGCCTGGCAAATATGATGAGGGCAGTGTGTACATAAAAGCTGCAGCTTTGGTAAGAACGTCAGCCTATCTGGAGATCCCCAATGCAACAGTGCATTGTCTGTATATTGACTAGAACTTATGGTACATAGCTGTACATGTTTTCCCTGTTGGTTCTTTTTATGTCATTATGATTTTGAAGTTGTTATGTGTTTTATGTACATATACTTTTTTTTGGTGTACATATATACAGTACATAGAAATATATTTTGCATTCAGGGCTTTTCTTTTGAGATTGTGCTTACTCTGTCACATCACATTTGGGCACTTTTTGAATGGAATGAAAGAAAATGTATGAGATTGAGTGGATGTTTCCTCCTATGTGTATGTATGTGTGCGCTTGTGTGTGTGTGTGTATGTGTGTGTGTGTGTGTGCGTGCATATGTTGGTGCTTGCGCATATGTGTGTGTGTGTGTGTGTGCCTGTTTGGTAATTGCACATATGTGTGTGTGAGTGCATGTGTGTGTGTCTGAGTGTGCATTTCTTTGTGAAAATGGTGAATGAGAACCTGGTAAGGTTAAAGCTACATTTTCTTTGGAAAATGGTGCTGATGTAAGTGGTGTATATATATACATATATATGTGTGCGTTTGATGGTTGGGGGGGGGGTTGTTTATGGGTGTATTTGTGTCCACTTTGATGTAAATGAAAGGGTTAACACATTGATGGGATGTGTTTTGGTTGTTTTAGGTGATACGTTGTTTGAGAAGTGATGTTTTAGAACTGCTGAGAAGATACCGAGCTGATGGGATATGTTTTTATTTTGCTGTTGTTTTAAGTGATACCTTGTATGAGACGTGATTTTTTGGCCGCTTGTGCTGACAGAACAGTGATGCGATCTCTTTGAGTGTGTTTTACGTGATGTGTTTGGGGGAAATTCCACATGACCCTCCATATGTCCATGGCAACTCTACGAAATATCCATACCATGGA